GGAGGCTGCGGCTGGCCGCGCCTTCCCGTCAGCCCCCGGGGCGTCCTGACTTCCGGTCTGGGTGTGGCCGCAGAGCGCGCTCGGGTGCAGGTGGCTGCCGTGAGTGGCGATGTTGCGATACGGGTTCCGCAGACGTTAGAGGAATCGAAACAGTCAAGTGACGCTGCACCGCTGGCTCCCCAGCCAAGCACTGAGGATTCCAGTGGCCCTGAAATGATGGGGCTGCCTATCAGGATTCTCGAGTTTTGTTGCGAGAAATGGAACCCCCCCCAATTTAATAAATAACCAAAGATTAATAATGGGTAGCTCCAGATGTCCAGCCTGGGATTCAATTTTAAGACGTTATACGTTTCACAGATCATTTTGAGCGTATAGTACATGCCAGGCACTGCCACAGGTTTAGTAGAATCATGTGACTTTTAGACCTATGAATAACATTACTGTATGTCATCCAGTTTGCCCCCTTCACCTTCTGGTTGAAGTTAGTGATGTAGGTGACTCGGTCAAGGTCAAAGAGCTGGTCACACATGTGTAAGAACCTTTCATCTAATTCTCTTTCCATTGACTCCCCTTCCACCTTTCTTGGAAAACAAGGATGAGTGGGACACAATAACATTAGGGTTTGTCTTCCAGTCTAAGCAACATCTGCAGGATTTTTAAAATTGGATATACTGTCTTTATATACATTACATCATCTCTTGCAATGTGTGATATTTTTAGTTAATTAGAACTTTTTCCTGTCTAGTGGGGAGTGAGGATCCAGACAAAACCACATTACTCTTTATGCCTCTCCATTCTCTTTTAAAAGTTGTACATCTCTAATTACCTGAAAACATGCTGCTCAACTATGGCATCATTCAGGTTTCTCAATTCAGTTATGTACCTTTCAACAGAACAACTAAAATCAAATTTTATCAAGGTTCTGCTCTAGCACTAGGCTTATCCCTCTGTCTTTTTATTCTAAAGTAAATAAATATATTTGGCCCACTCCACAGATAATGCCAATTTCTGTATTCCCTTCTAATTTCCCTTTTTTTCTTTCTAAAAATTGAATGACCTTTAAACTTTAGGATCTATTAGACAATGATAAGGTGATAGAGATACAGTGATTCCTGAATTCAACATTGTCATTGTGAAAAGCCAAAAAAAAAAAGGAAAATAAATGAAAAAATAATTTCAGAAAAGTAAACAGAACGAGGAAAAAAAATGTGAGGAGTTAGAAAGAGACTTGGAGGGGAGGAGGAAGACAATTTTAGATAGTCATAGAAGGTCTATTTGAGAAAGTGAAATTTGAACCCATATCTAATGTATGTGAGCCCTGCCAGATATTCTAGCATAAGAATATTCTAGACAGCGGGAAATGCAAGCATAAACTTTTTATTTTATTTTTGGCATTTATCACTTTCTGGTGTATATGTATTTGTTTACTTATATATTACCTGTCTACCTTTAAAAGGGGCTGAGCGTTTCCTGAAGAAAGAGATTCAAAGTGTGAGGGGCAAGTTGATGTGAGAGAGATTCTACTTTGCTGGCTTTGAAGAGGAAAGGGGCCACCTAGACAGAAATGGGAATGGCCTCTAATTCCTGAGAGTGGCTTCCAACTAACAGCCAAGAAGAAAATGGGGATAACGACCTATTTCATTGCAAGGAACGAAATTTGGTCAATAACCTATGTGAGCTTGGAAGAAAACCCCTAAGCTTCAGACCAAAACACAGCTGATACCTTGATTTCAACCTTGGAAGGCTTCGGGCAGAGAACCCAGCTATGCTGTGCCCCCAGTTCTGACCTGCAAGAATTCTGAACTAATAAATTTATGGTTTATGTATTTAGAAACATAATGTAGTATATTTCACCTAACACCCACATTTCTTGACATGTTAACATCCCTGAAATTAGAATGTGTTTTTTTCTTTTTAAAAAATACAGAAAACAATGGTGCTCTTATAATTGAAGTCATCTTTGATTTGGTGAAATATAGTGTAAATTATTTCAAACATACAGTATACCAGATACCCAGATTTAATAGATTTTAATGTTTTGTCACATTAAATGTGACATCAAAATGGAAAAGAAAATCGAAATATCATCAGACTTTTGACAAAGAATCTTTTTTGCCGGGAGAAAATAAAATGACATTTAGGATATTCAAGGGGGAATAGTGTGGTCAAGGACTTAATATCCAGCAAAACCAACCCTCATGTACAAAGGGAATAAGCTATTATCAACACTTGATATGACATCAACATTTAATGAGACCGTTGTTCTTATGAGTCCTTCCTAAAGAATTAGTGGAGAAAGCGTCAGACAACCAAAATGACTGGAGAAGTATCGACCTAAGTTTTGGTGCAGAGTTTTACAGAAAAAAAAATATCAATCTTTTGTGCTTATTAGCTTTGTGTTCCTTTTAGTTTATTCTTTGTAACTAATTTTCCTGATTTTCTGTCACCTCATTTTTGAGCCTTTCTAACCCCTCTCCCAGTTTTCTTAAGGTGTAATTGACAAATAAAACAAAAATATTTAAAGTGTACAATGTGATGATTTGATATATGTATACACTGTTAAAGGATCTTCACATTGAGTTAATTAACTAAGATTTTCTAATTCTAAATCTATGTTGTTTTTTATATTTTGTATGATTTTCTTAATCTTATTTAGGTGGTTTCAAAACAGT